CTTCAACGAAGAGGATTACGATGTTAAGCAGATGAGGATGCTGGACGAAATTCATTCCGGCAGGATGGAAGGCATGACATACAAGGAAATTCAAGAGCAGTACCCCGAGGAATATGCCCACCGCAAGAGAGATAAGCTCTTTTACCGATACCCCGGACCAGGCGGAGAAAGCTACCTCGACATCATCAATCGATCGCGCACAGTCATTGTTGAGATAGAGCGCACTACAGACCATGTGCTCCTGGTCGGGCATAGATCTGTTGCTCGTGTGCTTCTGGCCTACTTCCGTGGTCTGAAACGTGACGAGGTTGCTGACCTCGATGTCCCGATGGGCGTCCTGTACATGCTTGAGCCCAAGCCATACGGGGTAGAGTTCAAGGCATACCGCTATAATCCTGAGACTGACTGGTTCGATTACCTTCCCAATTACGAACTGCATCAGGTCAAAGGACAGACGACCCACTGAATGCCCGTTGAATTTGAACATGGGGTTTCAAAATTCCATGACTTGCTACGACCTATCATGACTTCTTTTGTGGGATGACTTGGCCGGGCTTTGAGGCTCTGGTCATTTAACTCTCGCCACTACACTTGCATTTTTCCTTGACTTTTCTGCTCTTCACTGGACTGTATCCTTTATTTTTGTTTCCTATTCTCATCTTGATTGTGTATTATCAACGCTTTTTCCTCTCCACTTTTTTTGGTTTCTTTTTTTTTTTCTACAGATGACCCAGACACTCGTTGCATGACCGGCGTTAATCTGTGTACTTTTATGACCTGGGATGCTCGCTAGCTTTATAGGCTGGAAGTGACAGGTCACCAGGAGCGTCTCTGCCTCGACATTCCATTTTTGTGCAGATATGACACAAATGCACCAAGATAGAATCAGCTACGCTTTTGCTTGATAGGCCGAATAGCTTTACTTTGCTACGGTGTGTCGATAGAACTATACAGATGATCATTGAAATCATTCAACATAATAGGAATAGAACAGTCTATGTTCGAACTGTATGATCCTTTATTCCTTCTGCTCGACCTTCACTTTCTCAAAGATCTCCATAAAGACCTCGGGTTCGTCAGCCCCTTCAACATGGTATCTCCCCTGCACCGAGATATACGGCACACCAGAAACCAACCTCCTGGCTGCCGTCTTGGCCTCCAAATCAACCTCCTGAGCACCAACATCTTCATTCAACATCTTCTTCACAACCTCCCGATCTAATCCCGCCCCAACACCCGCCTCCACGAGAACCTTCAAATCGGTAATATTCTTCTCCTCCTCAAAATAAGCCCGAAACAGCTGCTCCGCAACCCTCGTCTGCAACCCACCAACAACACCACCCTCCTTCTTAGGTGTCTCTTCGGCCTCCCGCTGCCCAGCAAACCAGAGCAAACGATGTGAGTCCCGTGTGGAACCAGTATTCCCGCCAAAGCTAAACTGAATTCCCTCACCCTTGCCCACACCAGCTAGGCGTGCGAATATTGCGTCCATGCGCTCAGCCCCGAATTTCTGGCTGTACATCTCGGCTTTGTTGACACCGGGATATTCGGCTGCTGCCGGGTTGAGGTAGAATGCTTTCCAGTGCAGGCTGAATGTGTCTGTTGGGTACTTGGCTTGGTGAGTGGTTATTGCTCGTGAGAGGCGGCGGTAGCCGACATAGCACCACTTTTTTTTAATGAAATGATTAGTTTATGGATTTGGGGGGAGTTTGGATGGATATAGATCTGTGTATATGATTGGAATACTTACAGGGCAGACGGTGTCTGAGATTATCTGGATCTGGAAATTCGTCATTATGTCAAGGATGCCAGAGGGATATGAGATGTTTTGAATTTGGGATATTGCTTTGTACTTTGTTGGGGGGGGGCTCTCGTCGTTTTGATGTCGCCGGCGGGGATAGTCGATTTGTAAGCGTTCGATTATGCCCTGGACGGGGACTCGGGGGGTTTTTTTTCTCTTACATTTTGGAATCTCGAATCTTCTAAGGTATTCTGTATTTGCTGGGATAATTATAAATTGCGAAGCATGTTAATTCGAGGTACACGCTACTATCCAACAATTACATTAAAGATCCATGTAGGTTTTAAAACACAAATTTCCTCGGGACTTGATAGCCCCAAGGCCGTGAGGTTTGTCGGCCACATGTTCAAAAAAAAAAAGGACCAGATAGACTATTACAGAACCTGCTGGGCCTGGTTCAAGTTACCCCACGAATCTCCCGAATTGTCAAAAACAGCCGATGAGTTAGAGTGAACAGGCACACTAGGAAGTGGGTGGTTGCGGCCTTGATTTAGTGCCGAGGAATACTGTTAACGAGTTAGCGAGAAGGCCGGGGTTCAAACAAAACGACTGGGAAGTCTAACCTTGAAGACAAAGTTCAGGACCAAGGCAATGGCCAAACCAATACAGACTACGATAGGACCAAACATATTGTCTAGGTCCTTTCCACTCCGCTGGCGAATGAGGCGGGCCCGCCTCTCGTATATAAACCATCCCCAGACTGCGGCGAAGATGGCAAAGAATGTGTAAACGACAGCCAGTGCTTGGGCTACCTGATTGTGCTTCCCAGCAGCATTGTAGAGGCCCAATGATAGACTGGACAGGAGGATACTGATGTGAAGCCATTTAATGAATGTTCGCTGGTTGGCGAGGTAAACCTTACTTTCCACCCGAACGGGCCCAGCATCTTTGATCCAGACACCGGGGTGGCGAACGCCAGGCGGCAAAGAGACGGATTCCGTTCCAAGCCAGCGCCGAGGAGATAGCCCCAAGAATAAAAAGATGGACTCGAGGCGAGTGGGTGGCTCGGGTGCTTCTGCGGGTTCTTCTGCGGGTTCGGTATCACGGCGCTGGGGTTCTGGGATTGAGGGATGTGGGTGCCGCGCTGCAGGTTCGGTGGCTGCCGAGGTTCTCCGTATGACCGAGGGAGAGCCGGTAGTAGGGTATTGGTGGTAAGGTGACCCGACCTGTGGGCGAACACCTGGACTGCGCGCGTCTCCCATGAAGCTGCCCACTGCTATGTTTTCCTCCGCTCGTCGAGCCAGTCGCTCTTGCTCCTCGTGGAATGCAGTTTCGGGATCACGGCGAATATCACTTTCAAGTTCACCAAGCCAAAAGGGGAAGCTGTTGACATAATCTTCAAATAGTGAAGCAACACCGTGGACGAACTTGGAGAACCGGGGAGCATCCTTAACAAGGTGGGAGACCATCAGGTCCTTGACCCACTCTGTGTTATGGGCCTTGCCTCGAAGCTGGATCTCGAGCAAAGCATGGGGGAAGCGGGTGATCTCTCCAGTCCTGACAGCGTTGAAGGGATAAGTCATATCGGCATCATCCAAGTCGGTACGGTGCCACTCGGCTGGATCGCGACATGGACGTTCGCTGTCGAGGGAATCTTCCCGAATGAGCGCTAGGTTGGTATCGAGGGAAATACGAATTCTATCATTGCCAGGAATTTGGAAGGCGGTGCGCGTGTAGTTGGCTCGGAGCATGGGTTGCAGGTCATTGTCTTTGATGAAGGACTGCAACTCATCCACGTCCTTTTTCAAGGCTTCAGCAGCCGCTGACTCTCCATTGTTCGAATCCTCCATGCGATGGAGCTTTTTATCGAAGCGATACTCGCCGTCCAAAAATTCCTTAATGTGTTTGTCTTTGAGCTGTACCTTGACTTGTCGACTTTCGTCGTCGTCGGTGACAATCTTCTTCTCCAAGTGGATAGGAGGTTTGTCTTTCAGTGACCCCGTCCAGCGTAATCGCAAAGATCCGGCTTCGGGTGCTCGTGCGACCTTTTGATTGTAGAGATCAAACTGAGGGGTATCAAAATAGAGAGAAGTAATGGTGGGGTCTTCAGTGAGGGTATCGAGGTCCTTGGAAGTTCCCGGCCTGTAGATAAGAACCGGCAATCGACGAAGGATGTGAGTCTTGACCTCCAAAACGTTGTCCGAGTGAACCCAGAATTTGTAAGATGAATAGGTCTCCCGGCCAAATCTATGCTCTGTCTCCCTTGGTTGCACGATATCATGGCTAAGGGTCTCTCGCACAAATGAGTACATCACCGAGAGTCGATGGACCAACGGCGAATAGTCTTCCGAGTTGAATGGCAGTTGCGACAGTCGCACCTGGAGCAAAGGTTTCACCCGGTATCGGGCTCCTCGTTTGCGATCATGCTTCTTTGCAGCCTTGAGGAAGCCAGTGAAGTTGATTCGGCTGTATTTCTCCAAGGCACTGACTTCCTTGGTGATGTTATCGAGTTCTTGCAGAACTTCTGAGGCGATTGTCCTTTTCGTCTGTTCATCGAGGGCGGGGGTTTCTTGCTCGGGAGTAGATGCCAAGGGTCGTAGTTTAACTTCACATGCTGTTGTCCGTTCTCGAAGTTGCTGCGAGGTCTCCGCCTGGAAAGAATTTACCTTGTCCAGTTCTACATTGAGCAGTTCCTGCACAAAGGCTTCCTCATCTTGTTCAGTCCATTGATCGTCATCGGAATCACTGGCGTCTTCTCCGTCCCGGGTGACATCATTCTCTCTCAGTAAGGTCTTAAGCTTGGTGTAGTCAATGTACTTCCCTTTCCAGGGAGGGTACACCGCATTACGGAGGGTTTTCCCAAACCGCATTGTTGAACCAGTCCGGTTGTAAATGACGTGTTACTCAGACACGATGTGGATATCTTGGGGAGGAAGAAGAGATAAGAGGACAAGTTTAGACCAGAGAGATGATATTTAGTTCACCCGATCGGAAAAATATCAAAAAATAGCTTAGCTTTTAAAAGTAAAGGTTACTTCAGAATTGAAAGCGTTCGATAGCCAGCGATAGACGCACGTGCTGGATTAAACCAATTAGAGTCCAATAGACTAGCTATACGGATAATTTATATTCCGGTTATTCTTTTTACCATACAATACAGGAAGGCTAGACCGATCTCGGGAGGGTCTCCGATAATATCCTCCCATCTTTTGACATATACATCCATGGATAGTATTACACATTGTATTATCTTTCCAAGATGGACAAGTCTGCACAAATCCCGGGCCTGTCCCATCACCTGCATGGTGTATTAACCGAGCTACATCGACGACCTTATCCTCACGTCCCAAACCCCTCAACATGCAAGAAACGCGCCTCGGTTGCTTTGATTATTCGGGTACGACCAACCTACGACCATTGGCCTAGCTCAAATTCCATAGATGCTTCTCAGCCAGCTCAAGAACGGTTAAATGAGTTCTTTTCACAGCCATGGGTCCAACATGGCGAACCGGAGGTTCTGTTCATCAAGCGTGCTTCGCGCGTGGGGGACCGATGGACTGGCCATGTTGCTCTACCGGGCGGAAAGCGAGACCCAGAAGATGCAGATGATAAAGCTGCAGCTATCAGAGAAGCTTCAGAGGAAATCGGATTTGATTTGACAACGGATGATACCATTAGTGTGGGTAATCTCCCTGAGCGGGTGGTCGCTACCAGTTGGGGATCCGAACCGTACGAATGCCATTCACTTTCCCCGCTGAGAACTGGGTTACTGACTTGAATGGCAGGTTGATGGTTCTTTGTCCCTTCGTCTTCCTCACGACTCGTAACGACTCTCCGACCCTTCGATTGCAGCCCACGGAAGTAGCATCAACACATTGGATTCCCCTGCGCGCCCTTCTATCACCATCGCTGCGGACGGTGGAATACGTGGATATGTCACAGCGCTTCGGTCGACAAGGCGGGTTTCTGACCCGCCTTGCAGTTCGGTCACTGATGGGCTGGATGCAGTTCTCGGCCGTGAGGCTGCTCCCGTCGGAAACCCATCAATGTACCACAACCCCAGGCTTTATTCCTGAAGAGAATACAGCCAAACCTTCCCTGATCCAGCGCTTCAAGGGTTGGTGTCTGAGTGGGCAAGCAGAGTCGAGTGACACTGCCCGTCCGCTGCTCCTCTGGGGCCTCACCCTCGGCATCCTGGCCGACTTCTTGGATATGCTCCCTCCCCATCAGACTGTGCAGTTGTGGAAATATCCAACGTTTACTGTGCCTGATCTGCGGTTGATTGTGAGCATTGTGACTTACAATCTGCGGAAGCGTAATGCACTCAATGTGAGATCGGGTGCTCGCCCTAGTAGCACGGCCTCCGATGGGGAAACGGCTGCACTCCCAGTCATACAGACGAATTTCGAACATGATCACAATGAAGTAGGAATTGGTGGCCTTGGAGTGGGAAGGTATTATGGCCCAACAGATCAAGCAACAGATGGGACATCTTATGCTGTTGGGATCCTGCTCCGTGGGTATTATGGCCGCTTGCGCATAGCAATCTGGGTTTTCCTGGCCTGGCGTGTAGCCATTGGTTCAATTGCTGGTGTTTCGGCCTGGCGAATTCTTCGACGACTGCGTTGAAGTGTACAGCAATATACTGCAATATAGTAATAATGAAGATCTCCAGTACATCGTACGATATCACATGTTTGTGGAAATACAAATACCAAATTACATAAACAGATCATTACGGTAACATTCAGATTAGAGAGCTCCCCACATCCTTCTTGGGTAAACATTGAACATCTTCAACTTCGCCTTCACTATTTTACTTGTCATGGCTCAGAAGCTTTATCCACGAGGAACAGTCAAGCGCATTGTCAAAGCCCACTCCAATCGGAGTGTGAGCAAAAATGCTGACATCCTGGTACGCGATCGTCCCGATATGAACCTTTTCTACTCTCCAGTCGCTAATACTACTTGTATAGATATTCTTAGATTACATGCTATTTATGCAAGAGTGCGTCTCCATCTATCCTTGTGGCTAGGTCCACCGGTCGCAACCCTCCGATTCACATTCTTGCCGACGTGATTGAACTAGCGATGGGCTAACATATCATAGGTTAATGCGTGAGGCATCAATTCGGTCGCGCAAGTCTGGAGATAAGAACATCTCAGCGAACACTGTGCGCAAGGTCACTGAGGTGCGTTGTTTGAGGTCGTTCTAAGAGCTTCTCTGGAAGACTCGTGAGAACTTACAGCTGACAAGTATGGGTTTTAGAAAACACTGCGCAAGTTCCAGGGGTAGAAGAGCCCATGATATAACTCGATCTGTCATTATGGCGAAGACTTACCTAGCATGGATATGAAAGGCGAGGGAATACTGTAGGATTGGCCTGCATTTTGTGATATTATGGCGTTGTGGGTGAATGTGAATATGATACCCTGGAGCAATACAATGGAAGAAATCAAATAACCAATTGGTAAATTGCGCATATAGACATAGACAACGCTGTGGTTTGCTTACCTCGCCGCTAAACGCGTAGAGTCTGCCCAAAGCCAGTGGGCCACACCGACCAAGGTGTTCCCGACCCGCATATTGATTCTTCCTTCATAACACCCATCTGTTCTTCAATTCTTCAACGTTATCACGTTTAATTCTTCCAGCCCTGTACAAGCTTTTCAGAAATACTTTAATATCTGTGTCACCCACATTCCCATCATGCCTCCCGCTTCCGCTACTCAGAAGCTCAAGGACGAGGAGAAGGGCAACTCCCGAGCTTCGAGTGTCTCCAAGGACCCCGAGAGTCCCAGCTCTGACGTTCAAGAGAGTAGCTACTTGAAGGAGCTGCAGAAGTATGTTTAAAACTCTATGAAGTTGTGTTTATTGCCTATGCGCAGGTGAAAGTGAGCTAACTGTATGCCCCGTTTAGGACCCTCCGCAATGCCATGAAGAAGTTGGTGAGTCATTATCGAATGACATTTGATTTCAATTGGTTCTTTCCATACAGTTCTAACATTACTGTTTTTTTTTGGTTTGACTAGAACTCCCTCGCCAAAGTCGACGCCATCATCGCCGAAAACCCCGACAAGTCGCTTGATGAACTGATTGAGGAGAAGAAGATCAACAACGACCAGAAGGCCCAGGTGCTTAAGAAACCTACCCTTCAGGCCACTGTTGCCCAGGCCGAGGAGCAGATTGGTCACTACAAGCAATTCGCTGTCCAATACGAGGACCGTCTGGCTGCTCAGAAGGCTGCACTTGTCAAGGCGCACGAGGCGGAGCTCGAAGCCGTCCGTAAGAATGCCATTGCCGATGCGACTGAGGCTTCCAAGAAGGCACTACGCCAGCAGTTCTATACCGTGACTAAATTCTTGTGCGCCGCGGCCATCCTTCGACGCGACGGTGATACCGTCACCACCGAGAGCCGTGCTTTCGAGGGTGTTCTATTCGAGGTTTACGCTGGCAACCAGTCTGCAGTCAATTCGCTACTGAAGATTGCCGAGGGTGCCGATGAGAAGGTCAATGCCGTTGAGGGCACCACTCTTGATTTTACCTGTCAGTGATGAATGCCCCCCCCACCAAATATACTTGAATGTGCTTTGCTGATAATAGATCTCTTCAGATGGCGATGTGAAGCAAGCATCTGACAAGTTCGCTCCGCCCGAGGAGACTACCGAAGTTGTCTCGGAGGCAAACCCCGCCACCGAACCTACGACCGACCCTACCATGGCTAATGCTGGACTGACCGAGCTCCAGGATACGTCTTTCGGCGCTCAGGCTGAGTCTGTAGCTTCTCAAGTTGATCAGGTGGCCCCTCCTGCGCAGACTATGGTTTCTGATGCTGGAAACTCTATTGCGGAGCAAACCTGGGCTCCTACTTCCGATGAGAGCAGCGAATGGGTCAAGCTTCCTCGCAACCCTGATGAGACCGACACTGGCCTCCAGGCTACCCCGGCTAGCGCTGATGCGGGGTTGAACAACGGTTCAGTTAGTGCTGAAGTTTCGACTCAGGGCGAGAACGGTGCCAAGTCTGGTGGACGCCGCCGTCACGGACAGGGACACCGTGGCCGAGGCCGAAACGACGCTAAGCGTGCTGGCGAGGGCCGTGCTCCTGAGGGTCGTACTGGCGAAGCTCGTGCTCCTGAGGGTCGTGGACGTGGTGGACGACGAGGCGGTCGTGGCGGACGTGGTCGTGGCGGTGCAAGCGGCCCTGGCTCTGGCTCGGCGGAAGCTCCTGCCTCCAGCGAGTAAGAGTGGCAATCCTAGGATGTCAGTTGGAACTTGTTGATTTTGGGATTTTGTCTCGAAACTGGTGTTCCAACAAGAGATTTCTGACCCTGTCTTCCCGGGACTGGCTTCAGCAATTTCTGATCCGATGTGATGGCTCACGAACGCAACGAATTTTCTTCACGGAGAGTCACTTTGATCTCTTCGTCTGGCTTTACCAAAGTCTTCTTGACCCATGTGCTGCAATTTTTTTTTCAGCGTGCATATTCCTGATCTTTAGAGAGCTTCTCTCACGACATACATATGTATTCTATGGCTATTGTTTTATCGGCGCTTGTGAACGGACCGGTGGACAGGCTTAGGTCGGGCATAGATCGAAATTGATCATAATGAGTGCACCACTACTTCATAAGATTAAACGTAGGAAACGGTATCTTTCAATATGGGTTGTCATTTGAACAGGACCTACTATTTGAATATAGGTGGATTAATCTACATGTAGTCAATATAACTGGTAGAGAGTACAGTCCCAATATGTATCACGTGATGTGATATATATATGTACCCACTGCGCGTTTCTCGGACTTACCTCTCCTGGTCTAGCTTGTATCAATGTAATGTAATATTGGTACAAAAAACCTTGTTGAATGCGAAGAAACCATGCATGACCTAATGAAAATAACCAAATATGCTTGAAAGGTGTATTCATTTATTACTAGCGTGTTTTAGATGAGACCCGTTTTAAGGGCATGGCGCTAACCACGATAGGCAATGCATACCGACGTCCAGTGGAGCTCCTAGCATATTATTCAATCTGATTAAAATGATCTTTCTACTCTTTGCACAAGTGTCAACTTCTCATTGTCATCCACAGTTTTTCTCTCCTTGGATCTTCTATTGTATATACGGCGCCAGCAACGATGGCTATAGCTAGCAGCCAACGTAAGCAGGTGCTGAAGGTGGTAGTACTATCATTATTGATCGATCTGGTATCAAGCTACCCCTCTAAAGCCAACAATCATATTTACTTGAACTAACAATGCCTTCAGATCTCCTTTACATTCATTCTGCCCCTCTTCCCTTCACTTCTGTCATTTTATCGCGCGCAAGATCCATCCCCGGATTCCCTCCTCAACCGCATCTTCCACTACCTGAACGCCTACAAAAACTCCTTCGCGCGCCCCATTGACTCGCGCTATGACATCGCACTTCTCGGCGGAGCCCTTGGCTCTTTGTTCTCTCTCCTCCAAGCCTTCGCTGCACCCGTCATAGGCCGCCTATCTGACCGCTATGGCCGCCGTCGCGCCCTACTCATCTCCATGCTAGGCAACCTCTTAAGCGTCGCGCTGTGGGTTTCGGCCAGAGACTTCCGCACGTTCCTCGCCAGTCGTATTGTTGGTGGTCTAAGCGAAGCAAATGTGCAAATGGCCAATGCCATCGTGGCGGATATCACAGACGAGGAGTGCCGCGGCTCCTCCATGGCACTAGTCGGGGCCTGTTTCAGCGTCGCGTTCACTTTTGGGCCGGCGCTAGGTGCGGCGCTCAGCAACATCGACATGGTTGCTGAGAACCCGTTCATTGTAGCTGCGATTGTGTCTTTTGCTCTGATATTTATTGAGACCGTGTATCTTTGGGCCTGTTTGCCCGAGACGCATCCCCGCTTGACGACGCTTCAGATGGAGGGGGAGAGTATCTCCGCCGAGAATAACGATGCGTCGAGTAAGAAGACAGAAAAGAAGAGCAGTGCTTTTGTTAAGCGCACCCATACAAACAGCCCGGCCCTTCTCAATGCCCTTCACTTCCTTTTCCTACTCCCCTTCTCTGGCATGGAGTTCTCCCTCCCCTTCTTGACTACAACTCTCTACGCCGGATCAGCCACGACAGCCAGCCCTGCCGCATTGAACGGACGTCTCTTGTCCCTGATGGGTTTGGTCGCATCCCTCCTTCAGGGTACGCTGGTACGCCGTCTCCCGCCGCTGATCACCCTCCGTGCCGGTGTTGTGGCCTGTACCGTCTCATTCTTCTGTCTTGCCCACGTTTCTTCGCCCTCGGGTCTATATGCTGCCGGTGCTCTGCTGGCAGTAACGACCGCTACGGTCGTCACGTCACTCAACAGCCTAGGTAGCTTCGAAGCGCAGGACGCGGACCGCGGTGCGGTTATGGGTCGTTTGCGGGGGTGGGGACAGGCTGGTAGGGCAGCTGGTCCTATTTTGTTTTGCTCTCTGTTTTGGTGGGCTGGCCGTGAGGCTGCTTATACAACAGGTGGATTCGCCATGTGTGTCGTCACAGTTGCGGTTTTCGGCTTGTTGAAGTCGCCTGTGCACAGGAAAACCGAGTAATGTACATAGGTTTACAAAGGAACACTGTAGGAAGCAGGCTTCATATAAAGATGGTCCCAATGTCTTACTCTTCTTTTTTTCCCCCTTCTTTCTTTCAAACTCTTGAGAGAGCAGTACCAGCCCCAAAATGTGTCTCTCTATCTCCCTCTTCCTCTCTAGGTCAAATCAATTTCGCTTTCGAGTTATTGACTTAGTCTTCCCTCACTATCCTGACTGTCTGACCTGCCAAAATGGGTCACAGAAAGGATCCCGAGATGCATAGGTGCCATGATCTTTCTCAGGGGTCTATATCAACAAGTTGCTCTAAGAATTGAAAATTACGGCTACAAGCAGGGACACCCTTGGAGATTCAGTGGCCAGTGACCGAGATTAATAGTGTGGAATAAGTCTACCATGGCGAGGAGCTCGCAACTCTCAGGTCAACACTTCCCTAGGAATGACGGGAAGATTGAGATGCTGAACGCTTCAATATGACATGTGATTGTATCATTAATTTATTGGGTTTGTTGGATAGGGTATAATACATAGAAGAGTGGCGATAGTCCGTGTCAAGGATGCTAGCGGACAAAGTCAAGTGAAAGAGAGGAGTTCAACATCAAAACAGCCCATCCTTTGCGCCTTTACTCAAAAGGATTATTCGAGCCCAAATAATACACAATACACCGAAAGGTTAGAAAAGAATACATAAACAAAAGCACTCATTGTACGTTCCTTCACTGCCTTCGGAATTTTTCATTCAGTAAGAGACTCACTCGAGGTACGATCCAATATGAGGGTGCAGTCATGATCTCCGGCCATTGACAGAACCAAATCCATGATTTTGAGAAGTCGCCATAGCAAGACCAGTGCTGACAGCCGGATCCAACGAGCCACGCGCTTTGCCAATGAGCCAGTCAGTGAGAGTCACGAATTTAGCAGTCCGGTCCCAGCCGTCCGCTTCATCGGCATGCTCGATAGTATGAGTCAGGATGCGACCCTCCTCATCGAAAGAGAAGATAAAGATACCGGTGAATTGCTCTTCCTTTGAAAGCTTGAAAATAGGCTCTTCACCACCAAGAAGGACACTCAGGCCTTTGTTGGTGCCGTTTGTGGAAGCCGAGAGATGGCTATTCTGTGAGGATGGGGTAGTTTTCGAGGGGGTGATAGAATTGGTATTTGAAGAGCCTGGGCCATGGAATGGGCGGCTGTCTGTTCGTGGCTCTGTCTTCCATCGTACTAGTAGGCGCTCATCGCCGCAATCGTGATGGTCGCCGTGATGCGTGGGGTCGAGGAGCGTCCCGGCGCGTACGATCCTTTCGCTGAGAATTTGCAATTTCACATTTCCGACTAGTGGAACGCTACTCCATGCTACTGGGACAGTCCACAGTGCTGCTCGATAGAGTGTGCGTCCCTTGACAGTGGGAAGGTGTGGATGTGTGGATGGGAATAGGTGAAGGTTGACACTTGGGGCGAGGATGTCGGTGGGTAAGGTGTTGTACAAGAGGGTCGGTAAGAGGGGTGAGAGGGTTCGTAAAGCTTGAATCGTTAGTTGGACAGCTTTTTTTTTTGCAAGTGAATAAGGAAATAGTGAGTACACACTCTTTCCGAGTTTCAAGGTTCTTTCATCTGGCGGTTTGTGATCGGTTCTCCGTGAACCTTCTCCACCCTCCCTCCGCACCAAAGCCGGGGAGAAGTATGTGGTTGGTAGAGGTGTAACTGAAGCTGGAGCTAGCCAGGGCTCATTGAGAAGTCCATGACGGGGTTGCGCCAGTCGCTGTCGCGAAACTGAAGCAAAAAGCCGGGCCGAGACAGGACTCTTCGGCTGATTGGGAAGAGACGTGCGCAGATAGACCAGCTTCGGCATTCTGCATTTCAAAAGCAGTCTGGTCCTAGTATGTTGTCAAGCCATGTATGTTGAAAAGGTTGAAGTTGCTCGGGGTCGGGGAATCGGGCAAATGACGTTGCGGGAGCCAATCACGATGCTCTGGTATACAATTTTATACAATTTATATTCACCTACATACAATTTATGAAAGTCTTATAAGTATCTATACGAGTCTACAGTTCTACAGGTTTAGTTATTGGGGACCAATTTGACATATTATTTGTAAGAACCCTAACTTCAAGCCAGTTCATCATCGTCTTCCATTCCCATGACACGTCGTTCAGCCAGATCGCGGATTTTGTCCTCTAGAACACCACGTCCATAACGCTGTGCAATCTTAGCGGCCGCCTCGAGCATCTTACCGTTGCGGTCCGTCATCAAGGCCACCAGCTCCAGCGCCTTCATACCACGCTCCTCACCCTCTCTGCATTCAATGGCCAGCATCTGCAGCAAGTTCTTATCCAAGTCGAGCTCTCTCCGCGCCAAGTCAGAGCGCTGGTTTGCCGTCGCATTGGTTGACGAGAGAAGGTCGCGGAAGAGCGACAAAAGTACATTTCCACGGACGAATGATTCCTCGAAACGGGCACCCTCGGCTGCCGTGTCTTCAGATTCGCTGGAATTATTTGGAGGAGCACTGGCGATCGGGATCTGGAAGTCGAATTCACTGAGCAGCGGCCGCGGGAAGTAAGGGTTCTTGTCGCCACCCTTGAGAATGATACAGTGGAACTTGTCTTGTGCAACAGCCACTGGCCAGTATGTTTCTTCTTTCCGCCCCCCCGCGAGACGTGCCATTTGCTTCGTGTCCAGGAGTGGTACCCATCGGGCTTGGCCGGGTGTACGCCAGTGTTGCAGAACTAGTAGGACGCCAGTTGAGTCATAGATACAAGGATCCTAAGAAAATAGTTAATTCCGTATCTTCAACTCTTCTGTTTTGATGGCGCATACCCCATTATCGGAGAAGAAAACACTCTGCAGCGAAGCGCCTTCCGGAAGGGCGACAGTATCTTCGTTTTGGCAGATCTCGTCGCGCTTGACATTCTCCACCGTGTAGCGTAAAGTCGTATGGCCATCAATCCCTATAGGGCCGTTTCCGATACTCATAATGTAATCGCGCCAGGCCGCGCAAGTCACGGCTTGGCTCTTCTGTCGATACACCTTGAAAGGAGTTCCAAAAAGAGTGTACACTCGAACATAGTCCTTTGATGTCACAGCGACAATGTATGAATCGCTGAGTGCCAGAGCTGACAACGAGCATTAGTAGGACGATCACATTGAGTATAACCCTTTCAAGTCTTACCTTGGATTTGCTCCCCCTCAGGCAATTCAGTCCGCCAGTCGGCTCGCGCAGTCCACGTCTCATGTGGTCGGTAAAAGATAGTGGCCGGGCTACCGTCCGAAGGGTTATTGGCAAAAAGTGTTCCGTTGTCATCTAGACTTGATCAGCCAGAATCGCAACACATAAAGGCAAGATCAGGGGAAAACTCACTCAGACAAGCCTTGTCGTACATATATGGATCAGTGAAGTGGAAGTCTCGATGGGCTTCTCGGTCATAAAATTCCACAGTAACAGTGTGATGTGTCTCCTGGTCCACTGTCCAAACAGCTCCCGTCAAGTTCAGGCCTGGCCAAGTTAGTAAATTCACATCACTGAAGTTGGAACATGAACATACAGAGATATCTCCTACTCCCAGCCCAAGGCGTGCTGCCGGGTTGAAGAGGCTGATGGGCCTTGGGCTTCTCGAAGCCAGTGTAAAGGCGCTTGTTACTAGTACCGCCGAGATCATCGCGATGATCGCTTGGCCGCTTGCCATACATATTTAGCTCCTCATCAGCATAACCAGCCCCATCATCATCCTCGACGAAATCCATCATCTGGTCATCTCCAATAGAAATATGACTCAGCGATTCTGGACTTCCTTTTCTCGCCGCGCGCTGGATGGCTTCCTTGGACCGCTCCGCCAGTGTGGTTCGCCCAACATTGTTGGAGATCTCGCCCAGAGGTCCAGGCAGGATAGGAGCAGCCTGCAGCGGTTTATGCAGCAAATAGTCGTGAACCTTCGGCACAAAGTCATCATAGATGAAAAGCTCTCCGTCTGAAGTTGTGAATGAAAGCGAGTTCTCGGTCGGGTGCCATGACAGATTCATGACATTACCAAAGTCGTACCGCTGCAAGATCTTTTGCGTCTTTGCTTCCCACAGCACAATATATCCATCTGCCGCTGCAGATGCCAGAAGAGATCCGTTCGGGGCCCAGCTCAAGGCCGTAATGTCGCCGGTATGACCGCCAGCAAATGTTTTCTCTTTCTTCCACTCCGAGGTTGAGTAGATAGAGATGTCTCTGGTTGCTTCCGCAGATGCGAACGCAGTACCATCGGGATGCCACACTGCTCTTGATGTCGCTTCGGCATCTGGCTCCAGTCGTCGAATCACTCCATCGAGTTTGCGGACCAACTCCGGCTCCTCTTCGTGCATAGAGTATATATAGAGAATCCCATCCGTTCCGGATACTGTCGCATATCGGCCACTAGGATCGAACGTGACATGCTTCGTTCCCTTGGACTGTTCCCGAAGATACTTGACTTGCGTCATATCGTCGACTTTCACGATCTTGACTGTGAGCTCACTAGTCCACCAATGTTAGCACATCCAATCACCTGTCTGGGACGATCCCTGTAATACTCACTCGCTTGCTACCGCAATCCATTCCCCATCTCTCGTAACTGCAATGTCCCTGACCGGCAAAGCGCATCGTACAAGCAAGTTTTCCATCTTGCCCGACACAATATCGTGCTTCCAGACTGTTCCATCCTCGGCACCCATAATGAAAGACCGATTCTAGCAATCCTGTCAGTTCCTTCGGCGGATCCTGAGTCTTCTGTTCCAACATACCGTCGCACCAATTCCAAAATGCGCGTCGACACCTTCGTCGATGGTCTTAGGCTCTCCATCTTCGCCGACCGTGTAAATACGAATTGCCGAGTTGGAGCCACCAGTAATGATCCGTTTTCCGTCAGGTGTGTATGCCAATATCGTTGTGCCAGGTGTGTCTATGTGAAAGCCGCGTTGTCAACTATTGTAGTCTCCCCAGATCATTAGCGTGACTTACGGGCTGGGCGCCCCCGCGGGCGAAGAGGGTCGAAGCTCATTGCAAACGAGACCTGACGTAGATAATTCAATCAAGTTACAATTGAAAAGTCTGGAGCATCGTTCGATCTCAATCTGGTGGATCGCAAATGGCCAGGGATCTACAAGGTCAGACGCGTTCGCGTTACGCGCCTTGATTGATTTAACCCGATCGGGTAATAAGATAGGGTTCAGGGCTCAGGGTAAGGGCCCCCTTTGTCCGGACATGCGATGGATCAAAAGTTCATATCGTTTAGTATTTAATTTTTGATCTGAAATAGATACTACATGCTAGCACCTCCAGCTGTTAAAAAATCAAAGTCTGCTCCTTCCTGCGCTTGGTTCACCGATCGCTCATACAATCCGCGGTAACCTCTCCTCTGCTTTCTTGCCTGTGTCTCTCCTACAAGACTCTGTCTATGTATCTCGATTCGAGTCTGCAACACTGCCTCGGAAACTTCCAAGTGCAACCTACTGGTCTTGATATCGCAAATAATCAAGTCACCGGTCTCCACAACGCCAAATGGTGACTCTGGCAGCGCAGCTTCAGGCGAGATATGGAGGATAATGGTTCCGCCCGCGGTCCCCGACATTCGACCATCTGAAAGTCGTAGCATATCCTTAACTCCTGCTTCTGCTAGCTTCTTTGGAATCGGTATAAGGCCAGCCTCCGGCATACCGGGATTGCCAACCGGACCAATGTTTTTCAGAACCAGCACACTATCCTTCGTCACGACTAGGTTTGGATCATCGATCCGCTGAGCAAGGTCGGCCGAATTCTCGAACACTACAGCCGGTCCAATGTGGGAGAGTAAGTGCCGATACTTTGACGCCGAGGCTTTGAGGACCGCTCCATCCGGGGCAAGATTGCCACGCAGAACAGCCAGGGATGATGAGGGAAACAAAGGGTCCGACATTGGCCGAATAATTTGTTGCGCAAAGGAAAGTCGCTTAGATTGGGACGCATCGAGAACCTCACCCAGTGTTTGCCCAGTAATTGTCACTGCAGATAAATGGAGCAGGGGTCGAAGCACCTGCAATAGCGCCATCATGCCTCCTGCATTGTGGAAGTCATTCATATAGTTATCCCCACTCGGCTTGAGATCAATCAATAGCGGAGTTTTGCGGCCAATCTCTTTAATGGTATCTAAAGTGATGACTCCTTGCAGTTCTGGATGTCTATTTGCGATAGCCAGCAGATGAACAACGGCATTTGTCGAGCCGCCAATGGCCTGGAGCACCGTGATGGCATTCCAGAACGATTCCTTCGTCAAGATTTCTTGTGGCTTTCTCTTCGACTTTGCGATTGCAACTGCATTTGCACCGGTCTCCTCGGCAATTCGCAGTCTCGCGGATGATACTGCTGGTGCAGTTGCACCCCGAAGCGGCATCATTCCCAACGCAGCAGTGACACAAGCCATTGTACTAGCAGTTCCCATGACACCGCATGTCCCTATCTGAACGAGTAACCATTGTGATTAGCGAAAAAAGGCCCTAGATCTGATGACATCGTATCTGCCCATACCGTTGGAGCAAGCTCTTCGTTAATGGCCGAGATTTCCTCAAGGTCAATCTCACCCGCTCGAAAAGCGGCCCAGTTGTTTCGGCAGTCAGTACAAGCCCCGATACGTTGACCGCGGTGGCTCCCTGGCATCATTGGACCAGTGATCAGTGGTAGGATTGGCTTGTTAGCAGAGATGCCACCCATTAACTGAGCAGGGACAGTTTTATCACACCCTAGATTCTGTCAGCAGCTATTCTCACATACCAGGAAACCAATTCTAAAATGAAACGACTGGAACTCACCCCCGATCATTATACAAGCATCTAACGGCTGGGCTCGGATCATTTCCTCCGTATCCATGCTCATAAGATTCCGCAAAAACATGCTAGTTGGATTCGAGAATGACTCGGCAACACTAATGGTAGGAAATTCTATTGCCAATCCTCCATTGAGTTGCACGCCGCGCTTAGCAGCCTCAATAAGCTGGGGCACATTGGCATGGCAGGGATTGAACCCTGAGAAAGTGTTGATAATACCCACGATTGGACGTGAAAGCGCATCTTCTGAATATCCGAGTGCCTTGATAAACACTTTTCGAAGAAAGAGAGAGAAATGGGCATCTCCATAGGATGTTAGACCCTGGCGAAGTCCAGATGTAGATGTGATTGGGGTTGTGAGATCATAGTCCCTGTTGGGATCTTGTTCCATCTTATTTTATTTTTTTTTGAATCACGAAGACTATTGAGGAACTGTATGCCTATTAAAATACCAGGCCGACTTATATATTCCCCTTTTAGTGGATGGTGTCATCGGTGCAAGGCCGATCCGGATAATAATCCGAGCCGAGGGAATCATAAAACGAAGTTTACAAGAGACTCTATAGTAAAATGTCATTCCTTGCTCCAGTATAATCTATACCCTCAACTTCATCTTCACTCGCAGCTCCTTGGTCGGTCGGAAAGCACCCCAGCTAGTCTTGTGCCCTGGAACTGAGAGGAATTTACCACTTGTGGGCTCAATCTCCCACAAGGCCACAATGCCAGCAATGAAAGTCAAGATAGCTCGCTCGGTAAAACCATTATTTGTCGAACCATACAACCCATCCGCAAAGGGAGCAAGGATGTTTGAATCAGCCCGCTGTTTTCCCGTCGTAGGATCAGTCACGAGAAATCGTAGGGGATCAAACTGCTCCGGGTTTGAGAAGTACCGAGCATCATGGTGATAGGCACCATGGGGCACAATGATACCCTCGCCCTTTGCAATTTTGTATGCACGGGGCTCAGTCAGGCCATAGGCGGCTTCTTCTGCTGACTCGGAAAGTGTCACATCGGACGCCAGCTTCTTGAATGAAATTCCTGCTGAATGAAGACGCACAGTCTCATAGTAGCACGCTTTGAACAATGGACAAGATGTGAGCACTTTTTCAATGTCCAGAGAGAGACGAGGAGGTTCATCGAAGGGAAAGCCCGTTTCCTCGCGAGTTGGTCTGGAAGCTACCACATAAGAGGAAATTTCTTTGCGGACTTGATCGAGAAGTGAAGGTTCGGCAAAGAGATGAGTAATTGTCCAAAAAGTAATCTTGGTGGGGTGTTCAATCAGATCATAATATAGAGACAAGTGCCCTGCAGCACTGGCACCTGGAGATAGCTCCAATTTGCGGAAAGTTCGCATCCTATCTTTGACCAGTTCAGAGACATCGTCAAGATCACGCAGTTCAATGCCGGCGTCAATTCCATCATCCCAAGCTGTAAAAGCTCGATGAAAGACCGAAAAGATATGGCGAAGCCGATCACTCGCCGCATGCCCTGCTGAAGCCGCTGGATGTGGGGCCCAGCGAGGAATGCCAGCGAACAATGTCACAAAGCAATCGTCAATTCTTCCAAGGTCTTCTGAGAGATTAGGGAAATTTTCCACAAACGCCTCCCCCATCAGGAAAGTAGAAGTGACATGACCAATAAAATTGCTCACGAGCGCAAACAAATTGGCCTCGCAGACTGTCTGGTCCCCTTCATCGGGAACTTCAACACCACTGATTCCACGCTCCCAAGGGTATTGGTCAACAATACTCCGACAGAAGCTCACCAGGTTCGGCAAGTCGCGCTGCACCAGCCGGATAATAGCAGATGAAGCTTCAGTGACAAAGGTCTCTCCGTTGAGAATGGTAGAAGCCTTGTCGCTAACTCCTTGTTTACGATCCAAATCCAACTTGCGGATGAGGCTGCAGTCGCCAAAGACGTTTTGCAGAGCCTGATCGAGCACCTGGTTGGTTGGTGTGGCAGCTTTGGTAGAAAAAACAGTCTTCATCATAGATGGTGAAGTCACAGCATTGTGCTTCATACCGCTAAGGTAAACGCTAAAAACAGGCTCATTCATAGATTCTCTATCATATTATTAGCAGGTCCGACAGAATGGTGAAATAGTAAAAAACCAACCGAGTTTTTGTAAAGAACGTGACATGATTCCATAATAAAGCAGGACCATGTCCAATCCAGGGAAACCAATAAGGTGCTTGTCGCACCGTCTGTGATTTTGAAGGGTCTCGCTCACGTCGACTTTGAAGCCCTGAGATAATCCGGGTTGTGATGCACACGAACACCACAACAGCAAAAACTGTTGACCAGTTTATACCGAAATATTTCTCACGGAAAGCCTGTATAAGACTCAAAGCTTCGTCCATTGTGATCGAATCAATGTTGCCTAAAACAAACCCTGCCGTGCAAGATAACGCGGGTTTACAGCGCCGGCACCCACTCAAGGGCTCAAGGTATGTAGTGAGGTGTAATAGACAATTTAAATTGATCAACTCCAGAGATTTTCAAATTAATATATCCCAGGTGCAGGGTGAAGGGACACGATGGCAAACGGAGGCCCGGGTCTTTTTCTGGCTTACTAAGCTAATTGGTGTCCCGAGGTCGGTTGGCTGCTATTTTTGTGGACGATTTTCATTGATTGTTAGCATTTTCAAGATATATTGTGCTTTATTTCTATATATTGATACAGGGCTCTCAGATAATCATGTGAAGACTCGGATCAAAGTTGATACCATGACTTGATCCGCGTTTATACTTCCCCGAGACCAACAACAGATCGATATCTATGAAAAATTTGATATCATAGAACAGGAGTTGAACAAAGAAAGGACTGGATTCAGTGCCATAGTGTGCTACAACATAGTATTTGAACTTCTTGGAATTACTAGATTGAAGGTGATCATGTTTGTATGAATGTAATGCCAGTAATGGAGTGATATTGAGATGAGATTGATATATAGTAGATAAAAGCTCAATTCTCCTTCTGCAAAGACTTTGACAAGGCAGCGCTTTCACTTTCATACTTGAGAATCTTCGATTGCGATCCGTGAACTTTGCGCAGAAGCCACTCGATCCGCGTCGTTAGCTCCCAGGGGTATTTGGGCAGCGAGCCAAGGACTTGTAGCTCCTCCTCATACTTTGTGATACTTGCATTCTCGTTGCCGATGAGCTGTGAGAGAATCAACAGATCAAGGCGGCTTTGCAGGGTCTTGTTCGCAACTAGACGTTGGAAAGCAGCGCGATACACGGGTTTCCCCGGCTTAACGTATCGTGGGAATCCCTTGTCGGTTCCGATGGAGACAAGCTCTGCTTGCTCTAGTGCCCGGAGAGTGGCCTCGCCGTTATCCTTGAATATATCCTCGAGGAGGACTTTGGTGTACAACAGGCTTCCATCCTTGGAGTTGGCGATGGATTTGATCAGATGCCAAGCCTGTTCACGGGTCCATTGAGGCGTAATCGACTCGGTTCCGAGGATGAATATCTTCAGAATCTCAGACGCTGATTGTTCGATAATACGGTCCACGGCAGCTATACAATGGTTAATAGAACTCTCGAGGTAAAACAGAAGACAAACTTACCTTCAGGGGTCTCCCCGGCCTCTATCCGATGGGCCATAAACTCCAAGTCAGTAACTCGACCACCCAGCACCTTGATACAAGAATCTAGGCCACGAAGCGTCTCTTTTCGCCTTGCATTCTGTTCATCGTCACTATTGCCTGCCTCTGCGTCCAGATGACTCAACACAAAACGACGGCCAACTTCGAGCGAGCAGTCACCCAAGGCAATTGTGCGGAACACTTGATTAGGCATGGCTTTGCTCAATGGCTTTGCAAATGAGGAATCAGTCGTCAAGAAGACGACATGGGCGATGTTTGCAGATGTTAAACCAGCCGCCCATTCAGTGAGTTTATCGAGCACGACACTGTCTTCCGCGTCATAGACAAAATTGTCAATTACAACAACAGGTCTCACTTCAGGATGGGCCTCCAGGTATTCATCATCAGACATATTGAAGTCTTTGTCGTCCTTGCGTCTACCCTCCAAGGCGACTCGCTTCATGGCGACACCAGTATTCTGCCAGATCTTGCTCAACTGCGCATCTAGCGTCTCGGAAAAGCCGGCTTTGGTGCCAATCATTCCCTGTGCAGCAAGGTCAATGAAGCTGCTGATGCTGTTCATCCAAGAGAAAATCGGCCGGTAGCCGACCTGGGAGGCTGCTCGTGAGATCTTGGCTGTATCACCCCGGGCATCTTGAATTTGCTTGCAGTCAATGATGACTTTATACTTGTGCTCTTTCAGAGCTTGCTCCAAGACCAACTCGCGTTTCCCCGAGCCCCGTGGACCATAGATAACAATGAAGGTCTCTGCTGTCTCCGTTAACCAGGCTCGCAGTTGCGCAATCTCTTTTTGCCGGTCTTCCCAGATAGCCGCTAGACCTCGCGGGTCCGACTTTCGCTTCCCAAATGAGAACATGCTCGCTTTGCTGGCCTGTTCGCGAACCCACTGCAGGACTGGATTCTCTCCGCTCTGGAACGACGACTTGACTTTGAGAGTGATGAAGAACGTGCGAATTGGATCGAAGATAATGACCGTTATTGTGGCTATCAGAGCAGCTATAGCAGGGATCACTAGTCTCGGATGGTTCAAAATCCAATCCTTGATCATAAACAGCTTAATCTTGCGCTCATAGTTGATCCTGAACCTTGTACCGGACTTGCCACCCCCTCCTTCTTCGGAGACAATAAATCCGTGCATGCAGTTTCTTGCCATGACGGCGAACCGAGGACGTTCGAATCGTAGTGTTGCATATCGTGGTTCGACCTTCGAATCTGAAGACTGTGTTTGGATGTCCAAAATTTTGCCGTAAGGCCGGAACAGTGAGTATAGGGTCTCTTGGGTTAATTCAGCCGCTGATTTATCTGGGGACGTTGGCAAGAATTCCACCTTTAGAGTCTGGCTTGGGATTCGATAGAGGTCTTCGATCCACGGCGTTCCGCGAACAAGGTCCGCATCGACTTTCAGGATCGGATTGAACCATGGAGTGATAGGATTTGTTCTCAGATGCTCCTTGGTTGCATTCTGGATACTTTCGTTGCTGATGTCTGACTTGAGCGCATACTTCACGAATGCGCCTCCCTCTTTGTATCTCGTCACGACCTCTTTGATCTCCAGATCTAGTTCTTTGGGCAAAGCTCGTTGAACAATACGAGTCGGGTCAGCTGCTGCTAGTTCTGGATTGTTGACTCGTGCCAAAATTCCCTCGAGAGGCTGAATATGGCTGAGGGGTCCCCGCAGCAGCCATTGTAATCGGTGTGGAAATATATCTAGACCTAGTTAGCAGGTAGACATGGTAGCTTCCAATAACTTAGCGCCCACTGTTGACATAGATAATGCCTTCGTTTTCTCCTACTGAAATATGTCCCGATTTGATACTAGACGATGTACATCGTATCGTAGAGCGTCCCGGAAGTCTCCACCCCCGAGACGCATTGGCGCTGATATGAGAGCGTGTGGGAGACCAAACGGCCAACGGGCCTTTTGATAAGGGTGACAGTCTCATTCTGCTGACAGACACATACCGAATAGAAGGGGGGAAGTTTGGAAGAGCGATCAAGTTGTTTAAAGTGCCGGATGAATGACGTCGGTTCGTGATTATCACCGGTCATAGGTATCACGTGATATATTGATTACCGCGAAAAAAGATAACCTCGCGATCTCAAGGTGTTCGCGATAGATCTACCAATTCTTTCCTCTCACAAAACAAAATGGGCTGGCTGTGGGGATCAAGTCATAAGGAAGTCCCTAAGGATATTTCACCCACAATTCCTACGGAGCCAGCAAAGCAGAATACACCATCGAAGACCTTGACCCCCGACGAACAAGCCGACTTGGAATTCAACCAAATCCTGGCCGATCTCAGAGCTGAGGATGCGTCGCTCTCAAAAGGAACAGGGCTAACCCCTGATGGCAATCCATTGCCAAAATCCCAAACACCTTCATCACCCATCTCACCCGAATCCCTCTACCAAGATACCATGTCCTGCCGCAATGCCTTCGACTACGCCTTCTTCTGTCAGTCTTTTGGAGGCCAATTTGTGAATGTTTATCGATATGGAGAACTACGGTCATGCAGCGACCACTGGGATAATCTATGGCTGTGTATGAAGACACGAACTTGGCCGGATGATTTGCGCAGGAGAGAGATTCGAGACCACAACCGGAAGAAGTCGATCAAGTATAAGACAGGCCCCAGCAGTGAGGATGTCTGGGATGTGCGGCTAGACCCAGCCAAAGAGTCATTCAAGGGAGACTTTGCCGCAATGTGGCAGGAGATGAAGGCCGAAGATGAAGCAGCGAAACGACAGGCGGAACAGGCGGTTTCATGATGTCCCCGGTTTCCCTCTTCCCTTTTTGTTACGACATGTATATATACACCTTTTGTTTCATTTACCCATGTATAATATGATACTCTCCATTTCCCCTTTGTATCAGCATTTGTTCGATGGTCATATGGAGGACCCCACGGATCGTATATAGCGCTTTAAAGGCCGTTCTTGTTAACCTATGCTGTATGGTATTACATGCTCCGGCTTTACTTTCTGAAATTTGATCTAGGTGGGCTCTATAACTATGCCTATAATTTATAAAAAAATAACCGAAGGGAGATAATGATACTGGAATTGATCGATTGGCGCAAAATGCTTCAAGAACCAAGAGACACGGCCTAAATGAACGACCTAAAATTTAGAAGAAAGAATTAGCAGAAATCTTTAAAGGTCTCAAACCCCATAGACACAAGAGACATGTACGAGGGGTTTTAGGGACCATTACGACAACCGGTATTTTGGCTCGCAGAAAATCGTAGATCTAATGCTTTCTGCATTTCTATATTCTACGGCTAATTATTCTTATTCCTCAATAAATTATAGCACTAATCAAGGGAAGAAATATCTTTAAAAAAAGATAGCTAAGGAAATATCCGAGAAGACTACAAGA